ACCAAGCTTGCTAGCTCACCATGTGATGCCTCACCAAGCCTCAGAACACTCAAGATAGCATTCAGTCTGTTCCTTGAATCTGAGATGGATCTGATTGTGTGTAGACTGCGTTTGACAAGAAACCCAACATGGTTGAGGCTGGTGTGAATCACTATCATTGAAGAGAGAGGCGTTCAGCCATAGAAGCGTCAACTCATGCATTCAAGCTTGAAGCCATTCAGGATGTGCTATCGGAATCCTTATGTCATACCCCACATCGCTTCCTCTACAATGAATCCCAGTTCGTTGCAAATCGTTCTCTATGCCATTTCGCGATAAGCTGAAAGACCAAGTTCTCAGTGAAGAGGGAAAGGAGCTCCATTGGCGACTGAAGCATCTAGCTTTCGCAATGTTGTCTACTTGTCCTCAAAAACTAGGAATTCTCGACCAGTTCAGATCATTGAAGATAGCTTGACTTTGAGATGCCTTTTTACTTACCGTTTTCTGATGGGGGCTGATGGATAAGAAAAGAATGAGTATAGAAATCCTAGGCCTAGGTACATGTAGGTTCCATTGAGATTCTAGGTTTTCTCCATGTAGGAGCTCCTCAATGCTACAACCAAGCCATGTTGATATTGTGACTTCGCTTCATCGCGGAGATAGGAGATCTTGATACTTGCCAGGCTCGTGTTCCAGCAAAGCATGACGATGAGATCTTGAATCAGTGTACCTGTTACTGATTCATGGTTAATAAGCTTTTCTGATAACGTGCCATCGCTCAGCATAGCCTTGGTGGTGTTTGGATTTGCTTACGAGCGATCAACTGACTCGATCGGCTGACGTGCCAGACACGTCTGTGTCGCAATGCTTAGCCTGAATCAACGCCAGTCCTTGATATATGCTTCATACTGCGCGCGGCAAGTCTCTAACAAGACTCGCTTCCCCCGCTTTACCCCGAGATCACGGAAGCAGACTATCGTCACCCGGTCTCCAGTATGGACGCGGGCCGCTGCGGATGCGGGGTAGCATCCGGGGTTATGACAGTTCTCCGCGGATGCATACCCTTAGGTTTATCTCCCCGAATGACTCGTTAGACCAATGACACGCTACGCGTTGGTAAGTTTGATCTTGTAATGAAAGACGTGATCTGTAAAGGGGTGGGCTGGAGTAGATAGGACAAGGCGGAGCCGGTGTTGAGCGGAAATTGCGAAAACCCGTGTAAGCACTTGTCTAGATTATCTAACTAGACTTTGAAAAATCAACCCATATCGTACGTCCAAAATCAGCAAACATGTCGACATCGAATGATTCCGCGATGGAGTCGAGCGTCTTGGTAAGTGTTGCCGGTGTCCTCGAGTTCAAGGATGTCACAATATCATGGGCTTCGAAGACTGATTTGCAACGACTCGATAGGGATGGCCACTTTCGTGGAGGATCTGGATCCTCCTGAACGTCAGCTTCTACAATCTTTTGGGAAATGCCTTTGCTGCAGGCGCTCCTCCGCTGTTTTCGCGCATTATCGCAGAGCTTCATTGCACTTCGGAAGAGGCCTCCCAGCTCTCTACTTATGTGCTTTTGACTCTTGGCCTCTCGGTAAGCCTTATTCTAAAATGAGAACATTCAACGTTTTATTGTATGTTCTTGAGAGACACGAACTAACTTACCTTCAACTCTAGAACATCTTCGCCCTCCCTGCCGCATCTCTCATCGGTAAACGATACACGATTCTGATATCGCTTGTCATGTTCTTTGTCTTCTGCCTTTGGTCAGGGGAAGCAACAACATTCAATGACTTGCGAACTTCAAGGATTCTCGGCGGGCTCGCTGGCGGGCTTGTTGAGGCGTTGGGGCCCAGCTTCGTTGAAGAGGCATTCCCAAACGAACAATTAGCAAGCGCAATGGTTGTCTACGTTGGACTCCTTGCTGCGGGCTCATCTATTGGACCGATCATTTCCGGTCTTGTCGCGAATGGTACTGGAGATTGGAGATGGTACTTCCGTATCCTCTCGGCCCTGATCTTCATCACATTTGTCGGATCACTGATAATGCTTCCGGAAACACGCGCGGATTCGCCAAAGACGGCTGAAGTCGAGCTCAACCCCGTCATTACTGAAGATAACCGCAAAGGGCTGACCTTGAGCCCTACATACGCCGAAGTTGAAAACGCCAACCAGCAAGGCTTTCCAGGACCCAGAGAACTCAGAAAACAATGGAGACTGCGATCTTTCTCAACATCTTATGTCGACATGGACTGGAAGCTCGCCGCCTCAAGTCTTTTTCAGCCTTTTCAACTTCTAGGCGCGCCACAGGTTATTGTCACAACTTTGGTTTTTGGTCTCACCATTGGCTGGACGGTTCTGGTATCTATCTTGCTCTCGGTGGTATACAGTCCCCCGCCCCTCCTCTGGAGTGCCCGAGATGTCGGTCTGCTCAGTGTTGGTCCATTGGTTGGTCTTCTGATTGGTCTCCCGATCGGAGGCGCATTGGCTGATTACCTGTTCAACCGAGCTACACGTCGCAATGGTGGAAAACAAAATCCAGCTTCGAGACTGCCTGCTGTGATTATTGGAGGTCTAGTCAGCCCAGCCGGATGTCTAGTCATTGGATACGGCCTTGCATCCCCGGAGAAGTGGGCGCAAGTCAGCGTTGGCTATGGCATGCTTGCCACGGGTCTGACTTGCTCGGCGAATGTGTTACTGACGTACGCCGTTGACACCATGCCACCTAGAGCAAGCCACATCGGGGTACTCGTGAATTTGATCAAGAACTCTGTCGGCTTCGGAGTTTCTTACGCGGCCACAAGCTGGATGGCACAGGCGGGACCGGTCGCTCAGTTTGGTACCATGGCGGGAATCCTCTGGGCGGTGTACTTAGTGGTGATCCCCCTCTACTTCTTCAGTGATACAGTCATTCGCAAGACTGCATTTCTCGCTTAGACTGAGAAGATAGTCTTTTAGACGGGACCTGGGTAGTGCAGTTGGTATAGGAACGCGAGCGTACGAATCTCGTCTATCATTCTTCTCTGGCAGCAAATAACGTTGGGGCTCTCGACTAGGTACTAAAGCCCTGTCACACTTCAAAATCCATATTGATCTCAAAAGTTTTGTATTTGACAGAGAGGGACGATACCTTGAAGTGATTTAACATTATCAATGATGGACACAATACACTTGCAACAAGCGACCGTACGTGAATCATGCTCCGGCGCGAAGGATCAACCGTCTGTAAGTTTTCAGACTCAATCCTAGACCCCGAATCCTAGGTAGGTACACTTGCCGTAGCAAAGGACGTTTCATTCAGTTTGCCTACTTGTTCTACACGTAAATGTTACAGCGTACAATCGTTCAGTTCGACACGAGACGTTCCACATCCATGTCAGCTGAGCGGTAGAATCCCAGACTTTTCAGCATAGGCATGTCATCAAAACGGTACAGGTATACATCTGTCTTCAGACCCTCGTCCGCGAAATGCTGATAAGGATACCAAGATGGAATACAGAAGGTATCACCCTTCTTCCAAATAAGTTCTGTATCACCGATGCGAGAGCGCCCAGATCCCTCGACGACATGGTAAACAGATGATGCGGTCTCCTGAACCAGAGAGGACTTGGCACCGGAGGTCAAGCGGGCTGCACGACCACCTAAAACCTTGCTGACTGGAGCATTGCACAAGTCAGTCCAAGTTCAAACAATTGTAATGAGGCAGAACGGGTTTCAAGTACCTTCAGATCCATCTGCACGGAGATAGCTTTGTGTAGCATATTGCCCTTCCTTGGCGTCAAGTGCTGCTTTCATCCGACTCCATGGGAAGACAATGGGCGACTGGGATGTATCAACATTGTCTGCTGGGTATCGTGGAGATGAGAAATGCTCGACGAAATGAACAGGAAAGTGGGTAAAGTTGGGCAAGTCTAAGCCGTCAAGCCAGATCATCGGGCCAGACCCATCCTTTCCATGGTCATGCCAATTCCAAGTGGGGGTCAAGATTACATCTCCCCGGTTCATCTGGATGCGCTTTCCATGAACGGCAGTGAAGCCGCCGTTGCCCTCAATGATGAAGCGCATAGCAAAAGCCGTGTGCCGATGCGCCGGTGCTGTCTCATTGGGCATAACCAGTTGTAGCCCAGCGTAAAGAGTGTCAGTCGTGAATGGAGCATCTGGGATTCTGAGTCAGGAACAGATCTAATAATTAGAAGTAAAAACAGATCTAAAGCTCCATCGACGCAGGCTGCGTACCTCTGGAAGGGTTGACGAGCATGAGCACTCTGCGCTCAGCTTGCTTTTCGGTAACAAGCTGACCCGCTTGCAAAAGAGTGGGTTGAATTTCAGAATACTTCCAAAGATGGGGTGTGCACCGTGGGTTGGGCAAAGGGGGGTTTAGTCTGGTCATTTGCAGCCACAAAGGCTTTGTGTGGTTGGCCTCGGCGGCGCGCAGCATCGTTGCGGTGTGGTCCTCAGCCGGCTCGGCTTGGTGCGAAGTTTCTGTGACGGTCGTTGAAGACATGGCTAGTTCTCAGATTGTCAGGATGATACGACGTTGAGTTGCTTGAGTCAAGTGGTAATGTATTGATTGACTGCTGTTACTCTTCTTTGATGATGCCTAGATACAGTAGCGACATTTCAGTGTTGACGAGATGTGTTTATGACTTGATCAAAAACACATGATTTCCGGGTGTTTGCCGAACTCTCATCCCGTATGAAGACCAACCGTGTTTCGTCAATACTGTCAACGTGACGGTGAGGTTACAAAGCGAACACAGGTGTGCCCGGGGAGTTAAGCTCTTGGCCGCAACAGCATGGTCGGAGGCTCAGCAAAGACACCAACCACAACGCTAAACTTACGCGATTTGTTGTAGCACAGCCTCTCAGCGTTAGGCGTACAGCACTTAAAGTTCGGTGCTCTTCCCTAACTCCCCGCCCTCCCTTTTCAACTACACCGGGGACTTGATCATCTTTCTCTCTAAATCCCCGCCTCTACCAGTCTCTGCCCTATCGTGCCGCACAACTTGTAAGCTGTATGAAGACTTTCCTCGGGAAATGGAGAACAGTACTCCAGGGCCAACAGGCGCGTCGACTCGGAAGCGGAAGCGTATCCCGATTGCTTGCAGCTCCTGCCGTGCTCGGAAGTCGAGGGTGAGTGCGACATTCTCGGACCACCACGCTGGCGGGAGCCAGTTTTGGCATTTTTCGCCTGAACGGGATCGTTCCGCCCAGCAGGTGCCACTGGTTGCCTAAGAAGACTAACCAGAATACACTCTTGAAAAGTGTGATGGTGTTAGGCCTCAGTGCTCCGCTTGCGTCGAACAAGGTATCGAATGTATCTACGCAGCCAACTCTGGTGGGAGCAATGCGTTGGTACCGAAACAGTATGTTTAGTGGAACTTCATGGAGAGCCTTTTCAAGACTTATCTTACTCTGTGAATAGATATCTCGAACAAGTCGAACACCGCTTAGCCGATGTTGAAGAAGAAATCAGTCGGCTCAAAAGACTTATACCCGCCTCGTTTCTACAAGGAAAGCAACACGTCCTCTTTCCACGTAGTATTTCTGGCCGTACCGACGACTTTTCGGAAGTCAACTATCCCGAGGAGTCACTGAATGTTGAGGATGGAAGCGTCACGCAGGGGATCACCCCCGACGCGACCGACGGTGTTGGTACTATTGAATTTACCACAGACGAATCTTGGGCGTATTTCGGTATGACACAATAAACTAGACTTTACGGCCATGGGCCTCGATATTCCCTCTATATCTGCTGATTCCATCATTAATCATTCAGGGCCGTCATCCAATATTGCCTTCACGAGAATTATCCGCCGCACGCTTGACCACTTATTGAACAAGACCCAGAAAGATGAGCGTGGAGATGCATCCTCGACGCCTGCAAAGCATGCACAACAACACATCCTGGCTGTCTCGAGATCTCAGTCACCAGTCACTGATTCCTTCGACTCAAGGAAACTCGAAAAGCCATCCGAGGCATCCCGTTTGCCACCCGAAGAAGAGGTCATCAATCTCGTGCGCCAATTCTTCCGTGACACAGGTCTACTATTTCCTTATATACACGAAGAAAGTTTCTGGAAAACGTACGCTCAGTACCGAGCAACGGGCATGCAGAATGCGAAAACCGCTTGGCTTGCACTATTGCAAATGGTTTTGGCCATGGCTACGAGTACCATGAACGCTACAGGTGTCGGTTTGGGCGATCGACAGGCAATATCAGAGGTTCATTACCGGCGCGCCAAAGCCCTCTCTATGACTGAGATGATGACAGGGGCCAACGTAGAAGCAGGTACTGCTGCAGTCCCTTCCTTTCCGTCTTCAGTATCTGCTGGATCTTCCCAGTACGTGCTAGTTCCTTTAGCTGACCTCAGATCTCTCAAGTCCAGGCCATGCTCCTGATGTCACAGTACCTTCAAGGCAGCCAACGGTCTATACAGACATGGGCAATACACGGGCTCGCTGTGAAAGCTGCACTCGAGTTAGGGTTTCATTCCGAATTGGCTCTTCAAAGATTCGAACCACTCGAAAGAGAAATAAGGATACGCACTTGGTATGGATGTGTCGTACTCGATAGGTAAGTAGTATATCTGGTGGATCTAGCAGCCCGCTGAAGGAACTATGTCTAACAAGATCACTATCGGGATAAAGAACACTGAGTATGACCTTCGGCCGCCCGCCCATTATTCCGCAAAACTATATTCGAACACCGTTGCCAAGACATTTCATTTCCCATCAAAGAACTTCCGATATCTCGAGATGGTCTAACGAGGAAGAGAGCACTGTGTTTTGGAACGCATCAATGTTAGTCTGATACGAGGCCTCCCCTTGCCTAATGTTGACTAATAATTGTCTACCTAGCACGCTTTACGGTGTGACCGCCGCCGTGATTGACGATCTATACGAAAGCAACATCGGATCAATATCGGTTATTCCGTTAACAAACACCGTGGCTAGTGTGATACAGATTGGACAGAAACTGGCAGACTGGCAGGCATCTTTACCTCTATCGATGCAACTTGTAGAGCCGAGTGAAGTCGCCAGCCCTGAGGGGAAGTTGATGTTATTGAAGTTCCGAGTAATACTCACACTTCGGTATCATAATTTGCAACTCCTGTCACATCGCCCAATACTAGACCGCTGTCTACAATCATTCGATGGAAGCCCTCAGTCTCTTCAGGAAGCAGCCACGCTGCAACAGGCGTGGCATCTAAGTAGAACAGTATGCCTGCGGTCGGCGGAAGCTATCATTCGCTTGGTTGAAGCCTGCAAACTTGCGAATGATGTCCAACCTACCGTTTCATTCCTTGGAGCATGGTGGTTTAGCCTGTACTTCAGTGAGTTTAGCCTGTTACCTTACCTGGAAGAATGCCTGCTAATCTCACTCAAGCCTTCAATGCCTCTTTGACTATTGTTGCGACAAAGCTGGTCGAAGATAGCTATGGATCTATGCCTTTTGATCAAGGATATACAAATACCGCTTTACGGCTTGACGATATTCTAAAGAGTGCAGTCAGTTGTATTGCGCGATTGGATATCCAGAACCCCATGGTAGAGAAGTGCGCAAAGTTCACCGCGACCTTGATCTTCATGGTCCAAAGCTTGCAAATAGGTACGTGATCGAATTTGCTTACAATATGTTCCCACAGAGACTAACTTCACCAAAGCTCCGGGACAGGATGACATCACCCGTGAAGTGGGAGGGATGGGGCCAAGCCACGCAGTTGCCTCAAATGGAGGCGAGAATGTGCAAAGCACGCAAATATCGGCGAATGGAGGAATGGATGACGCCTTTTCCAACCTGATGAACTATCTCCCACCCAACTTCAACGATTTTCCCAACACTGGTGCAAACTTCTCCATGTCGGAGTTGATGGATGATTTTGCTACAGGGGACTTGTTTTGGTAGGCGCTAGACACTCGATTTCGGTCACTACATGTAGGAATAAGAGAACTGTCCTTGTATAATCGAAGCTGTCCAACTTATAGTTTTCCAGGGCTGAACAAGAGTCTTCGCTCGTGACGGAAAGTCATCCTGGTGGAGTGTTTACGAGGCATGCTTCGAGAATATATCTTGCATCTAAGTTTCGTCGATACAGGTATGGACTACTATCTCCTTGAACCATTTCAACGCACAGCTTGCCATCCACTATCTTAACTGTTACGACCTTCTGTGAGCTATCCTACGATGCCCTGCAAGATTAAACGCCACGCAACATATCCGCTTAATTGGTTCCAACATAAAACTCTCAACCTTTCTCAGTCTAGCTAATTGCTCAGATCTCTTCACAATCCATTGTGCTACAGGAAACTGCAATCATATCGATATCAATCCTCCTACGCCTCGGTCTCCTGTTTCCATTGCTCCAACATCCTATCCTCGGCGTCATACCCATAAGCCCATGATTGAGTAAGGGGGTCGGACCACTGGTTTGGGCTACTTGCAAACTTGCGACCCTCAACCTCGGGACGCATCGCCTCATCTCGAGCCTTCTGTTCGGGACCATCCTTGAAGTGCCATAGCAGGGCATTCACCATGCTGGCCTCCTGCATCATGGAGGTCCGTGTTTTCCTTTCTCTCTGAAATACTTGAAGCGCAAGACCAAGCTGTTCATGATTTTGAATGTTGTTGAGGGCCACAGCCAGAGCGGCACCGTCTTCGACTGCCATGGCTGCTCCCTGCGACATGTAGGGGAGCATTGCATGGGCAGCATCGCCGAGGATAACCAGACGCTCGGAATCCGCAACCCAGTTATCCAACGGGACGCCAGCCATCAAAGGCCACTTGATTGTGGTGTCAATCAGTTCGATGATCTTGGTGAGCCTACGATATGTCAACAAGTTGAGCAAACACGTTTTGAAATCAAACGGGGTCATACTGTGAGTCCCAACCCCGAAATTCTGCTCTCATCTCTGCCAGAATTTCGGCCTGAGTCTTTTGTTCCCACGTTGAAGGATCCCTCGAGTCCCTGTGAGATAGCACCATGTTGAAGGATTCGCCGGCAGCAATAGTGTAAGTCATGACATGACGATCTTCGCCAATCCTGTGGAGCATGTTAGACCGCCATCTCTGACATACTTGATCGTATATGAGCTCACCAGACGTGCAATCCCGGCTTCTCAAGGATCCAGGCAATTTCTGGAATCCTTCTCATCTTACTGACATCTACAGTGGCTCGGTAGACTGCAAAGCCAGTGTAGTTCGTTGCCCCAAGTTGGGTGGAGGGAAGCAGATTTCTAGCCACCGACTTGACGCCTACGTCGCAAGGAGATATGAGCCGAGATCAAGACCGCATCTTAAAATATGGAGGAGGTGCTCACCATCGGCAGCAACAATAAGATCAGCTGAAAAAGTCTCGCCGCTAGCTAGAGTCGCACTTGGTAGGTGAGGGTTATAGCCAGCGACCCTGCTATCCAGGCGAACCGTAACCCCGAGGTCCTTGGCCCGCTGATAGAGAGCAGAGTGGAGGTGAGCACGATGTGCGACGTAGTATGGTGCCCCGCAGAGCTCGATAAATGATTCAGAGAGATCAGTAAAGCCAATACGATGGCCATTCTCCCAGCGACGGAACGAGATACCATCGGGCCGTACTGCCTGCTCTGCCATGATATCCATCACCCCCCATCTTTGAAGGAGCTTGCTGGAGTTTGGCGGAATCTGGATGCCAGCGCCAACCTACAATTAGTGGTTAGATGGTCCAAGAGGCTTCGATTGACATCGTGTGGATGGGTTGCAGGAAAATTTACCTCTGATAATTGAGCGGCCTGTTCCAAGACAGTAACATGATGACCACTTCTCGCCAGAGCAACTGCGGTTGCAAGCCCGCCAAGACCAGCTCCCACAATGAGGATATCAAGAGCAATGAACGTTGATGGGGTACTCTCTGATGTCTTCCCATCCTTTTCGAAGTTCAGGCCTCGAAGAAAGTTGAGGCTATTGGAGGGATAAGACGTGGAATGTGGCTTACGATGGCCAGCTAGCCCGTTGTGTTGTTTACTGTTCAACTCATCGCCGACGTGACCGTTTGTCCGTTCGTTCTCGTTCTGTGACTTGTGAGATCGAACGAATGGGTCCTGCGAAACAGGCTGAATTACTTTGGTAGCAGCGGGCATCTTGGAAAAAAGTGAAATGGTGGGACTGTGGAGGCGGAGGCTAGATAGAAAGATCGTCTACAACTTGGAGCGTTACCGTGTTACCTCATTGGGAATTTGTGATCAAATCCGTGGTTCATATGAGAGAGGTCCTTCATCGTTTCGCGGCTACACGACCAGGTGTCGGATGCATCCCGTGCTCATTGCCGTGAGTTGAGCGTCATGAACACCCTGGTAAACTAAGCCTTAACTCCCCGGATCCCCGCATTCAGTGACGCCCCCCCACAACCTCCGCGCTGTAGCGATGCCCTGTCGAGAAGCCGTCGGAATCGTCCCGCAAGTCGGAGGCATTATCCCAAGGTAAATTTGGACGGCCTGCGATGTGTAATGCTTAGCGGGGAGATGTCACTATCCCCGATTCCATGCCATTATCAAGCGGCTTGTGTGACGGCAGTCATCACTGCCACCAGTCGAAGGGCCTGCGGGGTGGCGTGATATCGTGGTGACAAAAGCGAGATGATGTTCAGTTCATACATTGACAAAGTTTCCTGAAGTATTTCTACACTACCTTTACTCACGTTGTCTACTGGCCAAATCATCATAATGTCGGTATCGTGGCAGAGACTTATTCGATTTATTGCAAGCGATGGGCGGGTCCTCCGAGGAGAGCCCATCCTCCCTCATGAGGGATTCGACCTGGGAAACACTACCGAGGAGACAAGTTTGAAGGCAAAAGTCATTGAGGGCTCTGACATATATGACACATCAGGGAAGACCAAGGTCACCGATGAGATTGTTGTAGTGAAGAAGCTTCTCGGCCCCTTAGCGCAAGAGGATGTTCCTATTCTCCGATGTGTAGGGCTGAACTATGCAACGCACAGTAAGTCAAACGCACTGCATGATAACTTGGATACTCACCACGTTCTCAGTAAGAGAGGCCGGCCGGAAGCCACCACCGTTCCCTTTCATCTTTTTCAAACCCAACACAACTGTTCTGGACCATGACGCAGATGTGATCATTCCCAAGATCTGCCAGGATGACCAGGCCGACTACGAAGGCGAGTTATGTCTTGTTATCGGAAAAGACGCCAAGGACGTATCTGTGTCAGATGCGTTGAGCTATGTTGCTGCGTACACTTGTGGCAACGACATCTCATCGAGGAAACTCCAACGCGATGCTGCATTTGCAGGCAACGTGCCGCAGTGGGGGTTCTCCAAGGGATTTGACACGTTTGCACCTTTGGGACCCTGTCTTGTTCGACCTGACCTTGTTGGAGATCCCAAATCGCTTCACCTTGAGACAAAGGTTGACGGTGAAGTGAGGCAAACTGAGGGTGTTGACGATCTTCTGTTCGATTGTGCCTACATTATTTCCTATTTATCCTCTGGGACCACACTGCAGAAGGGCTCGGTCATTATGACGGGTACACCAGGAGGTAAGATTCCAGCACGCACCCGTTGATCATTCCTCGTGACTGACTTAAGGGCATGGAAAGGTGTTGGCGCAGGTTTTGAGCCCCCGAAATGGCTTACCCCTGGAAACAAGATGGAAGTCACTATCACCAATATCGGGACGCTAAAGAACGGCGTCAAGTTCGCATAGACCTCGCAAGCTGTATCTTGGAAATGGGCTAATTGATGACCGGGAGGCAGGATGAGTTTCTCATTGAACCCGATGTTGCTGCTATTCGTCCGAATGATGGGCTTTCTCTGTCTTTAGAGTAGCTCTGGACATGGATACAAGTTAACAGTGCCACTGATCCACAAACATTGATGGCCCGACAGACTCACCGAATGAATACTAAAGAATAAGCAAATTAAGCTCTCATTGACAAAGAGCCAGCTCCAAGTGGCCTGAATTCCGCGCTAGTCGGGCTATTTCTTAGCGAGTGGCGGGTAAGACCTAGCCTGTCAGCTTGCCCAGGCAGCTACTTAAAAGATGTTTCGCAGCATGAAGGATCAAACCGTGCTTGGGTGATCTACGCCAACTTGGGGTAGTGCTTATGACACAAATTCACACTTAGGCACCCCTTCGTGGCGGTGACAATGCGAGCATTTTGGGCTTCCGGATCTAAAAAAGGGAAGAACCCCCCCGGAACATGGAACTTTAAGGAGGGGCTGAGGAGCTCGATCTTGGTGCACCGATAAGCTTGCAGGACGGCACCCGAGACGCCCACCATTCGCATGCGTGATAGCGGCACAGCGGCAGGCAAACCTTCGTGATGGATTCAAGAGGGCAGCAGGATGACGAGACGCGTCAAGTACGGCGAAAACCAGTTCCCTCGTACGTTCCGCCGCTTGGGTACGATGAGGCCCTGCTGCTCTCATCTGCCCATACACACGTCTACGACTGGGATCAGGAGCCCGAGTCCACAGCACGCCCTCCAGACGAACCACGAAGCACAGAGATTGGAAGAGATCTACCCTCCAAGTCAACCTTTGCGAGCGGCGAGACGGAATACGAGCTGGTGAAGACATCGAGCGCCGAGAAGACGAGGAACAACACAAGGCGACCTCCACGACGTCGATGGCAGATCCTGAAAGGGTGGTGGCCAGAGATCATTTGGTGCTTGATTAGCGTTGTATGCATCATTGTTCTTATCTCGGTGCTGAGGTCGTACGACAACCAGCCACTGCCGAACTGGCCCCTTGGTCTGACGCTCAACACCGTCGTGGCCTTCATCTCTACATTCTGTCGCACGTCGTTCGTTCTTCCAGTCGTCGAAAGTTTATCGCAGTACAAATGGAACTGGTACAAGTCGCCGAGGCCATTGGGCGATTTTGCGGTCTTTGACGAGGCCAGCCGCGGGCCGTGGGGCAGCTTGAAGCTGCTGCTCAGGACGAAGGGCCGGTACGTGAACCACCTCAAGCCAAACAAGTGCGATTCGACAGCAGATTGTTGACATGTTGAGATGATACAGGCTGGTTGGAATTCTATCAGCTGTCATACTGGTTTCTGGGATTGCGACCTCAACGCTGACACAATCCGTTGTCACTTACCCTACTCGTCAAGTTGCGATTCCCGGAAACGAGACCGCACTTACACGAAGGAACAATGAGTACTTCTGGGCGACTGCCAACGGACCTTCTCGAAGTTCGTCATCTAGCCCAATTGATACGTAAATTTGAAAGTTGACCTTTTGGCAGGAGATATCATGTTTCCGATCAACCAGATTATTCCTCGAAGTCTCTACACCCCCCCTACCGAGGTGATGCCGTACTATCAAGCTAGCTGCCGGTCAAACAACTGCACCTGGGACGACTTCACCTCGCTCGCCGTATGCGTTGAAATGAAGAGTAGGATCATCGCCATACTACTTTTTCCCTCGTTCGTAAACTGATTTCTTTCAGATGTCACAAACCTTCTCGAGACTGATGGCGACCCCATCGAAATGGGCACCAACTCCACGCTTCCTAACGGCTTGAAGTTACAGAGAAGCTATGGGTATGGCAATTTGAACATCTCCAGCGGCCCGAGTCTAGCATTCAACGGTACCGACGCCATGGGAGCCAAGATCTGGAACTTCTTCGTGATTAACGGTCCCCGGCTACGAGCCACAGAGATCATGCTGCACTGGTGTGTGAACACATACAGGGTCACGGTTCAGGACAACCTCCCCGTCACGCAAAAGGTCGCTTCCTACACGAATCCACAGACGGGAGAGGTGCTTGTGGAGACTTACAACATGACCAGTAACGTGACATACTTGACATCTCCAGACAACCCGGGCAAGAAATATGTCGCCGACGGGATGGGACCTGCTGAGATTGCTGCTATTCTCGACTCGACTCTATCGGGGACCTACATTGACGGCGGTACATACATGTTTCAGAACGGGACCCAAATCTATGGGACAGCTTTATCGCGAGCTGCAATCGGTATCAACACGACAACCGAGTCTCAGAAGCTGGATGACGCCCTGTTTACGACGCTTCGCAACCTTACTGAGAACATTGCCAGTGGTCTCACGAATGCGTAAGTACTCGGGGAATCTTGCGTTTCTTTTAGCGTGCATGAATACGAACTGACACCGTGAAGTCTCTTAGTCAGTAACGTCAGCGGGACTGCGTGGCAGGAGGAGAGATTCGTCTCGATCCGGTGGCCATGGTTGACGCTACTGGCGGCTCAGGTCGGGCTCTCGATCCTGACCTTGGCCATCATCATGGTGGAGACTGCCAGTCTAGATATTGAGATTGTCAAGGGCTCGCCCCTCCCGGCACTTCTGGCAGTGCACCCAGATGAGAAGAATGTGCTACTAGGGGATCATGTCGAGGAAACGTCCAACAAGGATAGCAGGCTACCGCACCTGAGGGCATCAGGTATTACCGGAGGGCTACGGAGAGATGGAGAGGACTGGGTTCTCCAGGGCATCAAAAGACGGTGAACATTGCTTGATAGTACGAGTTTATGAAAATACATTCTTCTTGGCCACTCTGTCTCTCGCCTTGACAATCAACAGCTCTCAATGCCGCGGCTCGGAGTCCTTGTTCGCCACACCCACAATCTCCCAACATCACACACTGCGGCTGGTTTCGAGACACTTACGCCTTGAAAAGTCTCCGAGAGCCTTTGGGATTCATCATAACACCTGCATCATCGCAGTTGTCTCCGCCTCGGACAACAACATTCCAACTATCCTTGTGGAAAGCCTGACCGCTGACAGTCATGCCTTGCCCTTGATTGGCGTCCAGCTTGTCCTTGCACTTTGACAAGACGCGCTGAGCGCCGTCGGCAATGTCTCCAAACGAATCTATCTGCTTGGTGCTCTTGGCCTGCATGGAACGAACGTATCAGACACATCATCATGCTAGGCCAACACTAACAAGGTCCTCAAAGAAGGGGAAAGCAAGATACTCACGTCGTTGCACCACCAGATAGCGGTGCCATTCCGACAACTAACCCGTCCGCAATTCGCAGGCCCGGCCCCGTTCTCAGGCTTCCCCTGAACCGTCCTCAGTTCGTCGATACTGACATGTGCAGCCGTTCTATTGCCTTCCCTGAAGTTGTGGCACAGTGTCTGGTCATTATCCTCAAAGGTGGCCCGCTTCCCGATAGCCGGCATGGCAATCTTGCCAAACTCGTCGTCGATGTCAAAGCTCGGGTGCATGTCGCGCATCTGGGTCGCTACTTCTTCGACCGTGCCTCGAAAGGTGAGCGTCTTGCCGCTGCCGTCGGGCGAAGGGACTTCCCATCGTGGGATGAAGATGCCGTAGCCAGGGATGGGCGCACCGGGGCTCGGGGCATCTTGGCCAAAGGCCCATGCCTATCGAGAGAGTGTTAGTCGTTGTATTCTAGATACACGCACAACGAGACATACCACGGTGACGAGGACGGCCCATGGAAACGAGATGGACAGTGAGATCAACATGCTGTATGCGATGGAGTTGGTCGGGAGGAGACAAGTATGCCCCAAATTGACTATCTGACGCGGGACACATCTTTTGAAGCTGGCAGTATCAACATCGTTGTTTCGAAGAGGGGTAGTGTTAAGATCAGGGGCTGGCCGTTGCTCACGTCGTCTTGAATGTTTGGACAACATTATCAGACGAAGTTAAACTCGACAACTATTCATGCTCTGCCGAACTACCGCCTGCAGGTCCGCGATTGACAACTTGGCGCATGTTAAAGTGCGCGATTGCTTCGCTCTGACATCTGAGCCAGCGATATATTGCCCAATAGGTTCGGCACTTATTTGAACTGCGCAGGGCAGTATTATCTGTCACGGCTTAGAGGTTGACTCACGGTAAACTACTATAACCAATCCCGCAAACCGCAGTCTGCTAAAAGCTAAGAAGAAGAGTGGGCAACCTTCATGGACAGCTTCATGAGCAGAGAAGCAGCAATTCGTAGATCGATGAAGCTATCATGAGATGATCAAAACACTACCGAGCTCGGCAACCGGAATACAACCCAACAAAACGGAAAACACAGTAAGTGTGTTATTTCCATCGTCCATGAAGCGCCGGCAGCGAAACCGAGCCCTGCCGTCCGATTAGACTCCAAGTTGCCGTTTCATCTCTCCCCAAAGAGTAGCGATGCTCATGTATCAAAATTCCCAAAAGCCTCAATCACCACTAAAGCCAAAATCGGCGAAAGAGTGTCGTCCAATACCAACGCGCCACATAGGCGTGAGCTTACTGTACTGATTGGTATAGATGCGCGCATGCGGTGCAATCGCTGGTATCGACGAGCTGGCTGGCTGGCTGTCGCATGGCTACCTATCGCACGTAAATGTGTCGTGGCATCAAACGCGATCGAATCACGGCAGCATAAGGTAACTATCATTCGGGTGGGATAAATTGTCCTACATCAATTGATGCCAAGCAGAAGTAACCGGCGAAGCAGCCAGTAAGATAGGTACAAGTAATCTCATCTCATCAGGTTGACAAAGAAAAAGGCTAGCTATATATGACAGTGACACGAAAGAAAAGGCTATTCTAGTACAGTAGAATGGTAGTAGCTGTTGCCGCTCGTAGGCTAACGCAGAAGTACCACGGCCGGATGAAAAGGAGCCGGGTAAAAAGGGGGTATCGGAATGTCGCGGAACTCAGTTGTAATGTAGGCGCGCGCGCGCTCATCATGCATATGCTCGTCGTGGAAAAAAAAACGAATTCATCATCAGTAATGGAAAAAAAAAGGGGGAGAAGACCATCCGCACGCCTCTCATAGGTCGCTCACAAACCCCTCAACCGTCTCGTCGACGGTCGCCAATCCGCCCGTGGTAGTGCCGTAGCCCCTCTCCTTCTTCTTCCCCTTCTTTGGTAGTAGCGGCGTCTGGTTCGTCGTAGATGTTGTTGTCCTCTGCCGGTCTTCGCTGTACCACTGGAACACGGCACACAGGAAGCCAATGAAGAAGAGGAACCTAGCAAAACCCAATTCGTTAGTCAAATCATGTCGGTTCTGGTGTTGAGCCAAGCCAAGGCCAAAACTACATGCATCCATCCCTACGTGTAGGTATCCCTTTCCTCCCAACGGACTGATCTGAACCAGCCAGAGATATTGTCGTAAAGGGACACGTGATGGGATAGGAATATGACAGAAAAAAAAAGAAAGAAAAAAAAAGAGAGGGAAAAAAAGGGCAACGAATTACTCACCACATCTTGACAGCCAACCCGACGACGACCCGCACCCCCTTCTTCTCCAACCTGTCGCCGTTCTCCCCCTGCCCCTCCTCAACACCACGCACACCAGCGCACACTACGACGGCGCAAAACGTGGCCAGCACCAGACCGGCCGCCTGGAACCCCAAATCCCCAAGCCTGTTCAGACAGCCGACCCCGCGTAGCAGGGCCGCCGAGAGGGAGACGCTGAGGAGGATCATCAGGGCAGGCGACGCGAACTGGGATAACCTGCGGGTGCCGTCATCGTTAGCTATGCCTGATTTGTTTGTATGACACGAGATCAAGACCCCATCGAGATCCGTCCCTCCCTGGGTGATACTCGATGCTCCCCGAATGATGCTCGACGCTTCGTAGGGAGAATGAGAAGGTGAGCAAAGAAAGAAGAGAGAATACTCACCAGTTCCAAATCGCAAAATCACCGCCGGCGTTGTACACCATGTAAATGATCCAGCCCTCAACACCGCCAACGACACACAGTTCCAACCCCATCAGAATCCACCACGCAACGGCCTCCAATCCACCTCGCGCAGCCATCGCACCGTTCTCCCCGTCACTCGACCGCGAGCTCGAACTCCCCGCGCTCCCCCGACGTCCCGAGGAACGCTGGTGGTGGTAGTGGTGGTGGCCCAGGTTCCCCAATGTTCTCTTCCCCTCCCCTGCTGCTGCTGCTGTTGCTTCTCTTGCACCCAGACCCGCCTGCGCTTCAACGTCATACTCGACGACGGTAACCAGGGGATGGTGAAGATGTTTCCACGCCGCCTTTTCGTCTCGTTGCTGCTGTTGATGCTGCTTTGGCACCCGCTGCTGCTGTAGATGTTGCCGTAGCTGCTGTTGCGGACTTCCTGCCCGGGTGACGATGGCCATCAGGGCGAGGCGAGATGCGGCTTCCATCGGGACCGGTATCGCGACCGTGAATGCGTAGTATGTGGGCGTAGGCGTGGGCTGACGAGCTCAATCTGGTTTGATTGTGCCGAGGTTAACAGCGTTGGGATACGCAGTGTAGACATGCGAATTGCCCGGCGTTTCTATCTACCCTGTAGATTTTGGAGTTTTTGGAGTAGTGGTTGGTAGATGGAGTAAAGGTGCTCGATAATACTCAATAACGACGGGAGTTTGCGTAAAGTCGGCGACGAGTTGAATGACCGCAACAAGATGCAGAAGAAGTAGAGGTTAGAAGTAGAGGTAAGAATCAGAAGCACAATCCGACGAGAAGAATATGTGTAAGAAACTCAGTTCAAGAAAGTTGGGTAATGAAGAAGAGAGAGAAGCTTGAATTGGGTGTGGGCAAACCAAGGAACAACACGTTGACAAATTCCAACCCCCGAGAAACTTTAGGCATCACGGAATTATGTGCGTGAACCCCTTAATTAGATACTTTGGTGTCATTGGGCTGTGTATCCCTTTTTTTGTGATTTTCAGCTGGCTCCTATCTCTCACACACACAACCTAAAGTCTACTTAGGTACCAGCTAATTATCTGCAGTTCTACACAAGTCTTACAAGTAGTACTCAACCAGCAGTGCCTAGTCTCCCTTCCAAAGGTCTTTCAAAGGTTTGTGTGGCCTCCCTTTCTTCCGACATGCGACGGACCACCTGACCCCGTCACCATTCCCGTCCGCGTTGCACCTGAGCCCTCCATCTCACATCATCCATCCACCCCCCGTGCCGTGCCCCCTCAGCCCTTTTCCCCTTCATCCACAGGCAGTAGGTATTCACTGCCCACCTAATAAGGCACCTCTTACACTATTCTTACCCAAAGGCCTGGACCTCCCACCAGTCAGGTACTAGGCAAAGTTGCCCTTCTCGGACCCCCCGCAGCAAAGGCCCGTTACCCCGGACCCGCAAGACCCCGTGTCTCGATGCCCAGCTCGCCTGCGCACCACTCATCGTCGTTCGCCCTCTTTGCACTCTTCTCGTTCCCGCCAGTCCAGCCGACACCACGCGCATACCTATCTACCTTACCTATCCAGTGACCACTGACCAGTACGAATACCTCAAGTACCCATCCCCAAGGCAGAGTGATGGACAAACACATAACACACACTTCATCACGCATATTTGTGGTCACGCCCGTACGCAAGCAGCAAGGTACCTTGCCCACAGGAAACACATCCCGCCTTTCCACCAAACCAAACCACATGTCAAAGCCAAAAAGAGTGAGTGAGTGAGTGACTTGCTGCAGCCTGCGGCATGCCATGCCTGGTAGACTTGCAAACACATACACACATACAACACGTGTGTGTTTTCTGTCTCATTACCCCAAATCATACATCAAGTACTCTTCTTCCCTCGTTGAATCATGAATACTCTACAGCCGACAAACGCCGCGTCCATGCCCGACCCCCCGTGCAGTATGCCGTACCGTACCGTATCGTACCGCACCGTATAGTACCTTGCCGTCCCAATCAGGAATCAATAGTAACTAAGACTCATTCGTAATTCTGAGCCAACCCGGGGGACGTCCTCGCCTATTTACTCCAGACTCATTCTGGCCTCATCGCCGATTCCCCATTGCCCACCCTCCTTGCCCTGTAAAGCGAGGTTCAACTTGAGTCCCAGCGCCGCAGCTTCCTCTTCACTCTTGGCCTCGCTCGCCCTACGACTGCGGTCCTGCTCCTTGTCGGCTTTGCTGGCGACGCTCTTATCTGTCACCTTCCGTCGTAATGACGGCGCTTTGAAAAATGATCGTCCGCCCGAGCTCGTCGAGAGAGTGGAAGCCGTGTCGTCCTTTTCTCTTTCCAGGTCCTTATCTGATAGGGTCAGGTCTTGCGTGGAGTGTGTAGGGGAAACCATCTTTTCTTCGAGCGTGCTGTACCTCTGCGTCGTCAAGGCGGGGCCCGGGGGACCTGTTGTGGGCGAGCCCGGCCGGGCAGAGCTCGGTGCCTGTGAGGCGTCCAGTTCGTGTGCCATTTCGTCCTCCGAAACCTCCACCAGCTCGGCGTCGCGGTACCACTTTCGCCGCCGTGTCCAACGTCCCCATCCGTCCGAGCCGCGGCGTCCGTTTTGCCACTGACCGGCATGTGTTAGTCGCGTCACATACATCCTGGCACTCAGCTACAGTAGTCAGAGCTTGCTCACCTTGTTGTCGTAGTAGATCCATCCATTCTTCCCAGGTTCCCCGTCATAGTCAATGGGTTCAGTTCCGTCATCGGGAACCCCGTCAACCCTCCACTTGCTCCTTTCAACCCACCGCCAGCGCATGTTGCTACCATCCTCCACTTCGGGCAGCTCAAACGTGTCTCGTGACGGCACAGGGTTATTATGTTCATCAGTCCATGCCGACCGTTCGTAGGCAAACATGCTCTGTGTCCAGCCTAAGCCGACCCATCGTCGCTGGTTCTCGTATATAATAAAGGTGAACTTGACACCTGCATCCTTGCTCGTGGCATTGTTGCCATGCCTGTGGGACTGCATACGCAGCGCCTTGGTGAGCTCCGATGCTGCCGGCTTGGCCTGCACTTTGCCATTCTCTGCCGCGGTGATCTGGACAGGAACGGCCTTGACAGGCTTCTCAAATGTCAAGCCCGTGACCAGGGCTGCCGTCCTCCGGATGGTGGCGCTGCGCCATAACAGCGTCCGGGCGACTCGCAGGAATCTAGCATGCCATGTAAGCACCAGGGTGCCGAAAAGTAGAGCCACTCGTCGAGTTGTGATGATGCGTAATGGTGGAAGCGTCAAGGTCATCCAGAAAGGCGTGCAGAACAGTATGCGCACGAACAGCGTCGTCAAGGCTGGTCGTGTTGTGGCAGACGTAGGGGTTCGTTGCGTGCTCAGAAAGTCGGTCAATTCGAGAAGCGGCTCCAGCAAGAGGTTGCATCGCCCAGTGAACTCCTTCAGTGTCTCGACAATCTCGTCCAGTGTCTTTTGGTGCCTTGTGTTCGTGGCCTCTGACTCGCCTCGTTGGTGACCCTTTGTTGTGCTCGTAGTTGTGCTGCTCTTGGGTGTCGACTTCTGTGCCTTGGCCCCGGCTGTGCCTCCTCCGGTGTTCTGCGTGCCGCCAGGGTCCTTGGAAGCTGGCTCTGTCCACCCACTACTGCTCAGCGGACTGAAGCGTCTACCATACATCCCCAGTATCAATGTCAGGACAACGACGATCGGCCCCGCCATGCGCACAACGATGTCCCCATAGAGGACAATAGCCCAGAAGGATGCCAGCAGGAGGAAGCTCTCCCACGGATCGTCGGTCGTCCATGTCAACAGCCCGGCAAGCTTATTGAGGGGCAGGAGAAAGGGATGTGAGTATGCTAATGCGCGGGTGATCTGTGGCGGCGTGGCTAGGAGGAGGGGAGATTTCTGATGGACGATGATGGTGGATTGGCGGGAGGATCGGCTTGGAGTGGTCGCGGCGAGGGTGACGGGGGAGAAGGTCGCGTAGGTGGGCGGCGCGCCGGAGAGGTTGCCGTCGAAGCCGGAGCCCTGGGAGGGATCGTTTCCGGAGTCGGCATCGGCGCCGCGGTGGGCCTTTGGGGTCGACATGTGGACTAGCCAGGGCGTATCCTGCAGCAGGTGACGCAATGGTTAGCCTGGCTGTGGGTTATGCAAAGAATGGATGCGTAGGTAGGTAGGTAAGTGAATGGATGCAGCCGTGGCAAGCCGACCGTCAGTGAGGCCGGAGGGGGGATGAGGTGTGCAGCCTGGATGCCATTTGGGGTGGAATGCGATGCGTGGTAAGGTTGGGTGGGAAAGGAGAAACGAGAGGTAGAAGGCAAAGTAGACGGATAGAGAGGGTAGATGGGCGAAAAAGTTATGACGTGGCTGATGCGTTGAAGGATGCCAAAGCGCAAGTGGCAGCTGAGCAGAAAGACAGAGAGAGACAAGAGACAAGTGACCGTGTCTTTCTTTCAGTCTTGTCTGTGTGCCATCTGCTGCCAGCAGCTGTCCCAGGCTCACTTCAGCTCAGTCCAGCTCAGCTTAGCTTTACTGTCATGAACAGGGCCAGATAGACAAGGTCGGGAGGCAGACATTCAAACATGTCCGCCTCCGTTTCGCTGCCACTCTGTTCGGCCACGGCGGAACAGGGCGGAGCCGGTGCGCTTCAAGGTCTGGGTATCCGCAGGCTGCTCCGTAATGACGAACAGACTACAGGGCAAGGATGTGGTGGGCGAGGGTCGGGGGTGGGGGTGATTCGGGGAGGGTCTCTTCTCTCACAAAGGCAGCCATCAATGTCCGTGGTCCTCCACTGCTTCCGCAGACTTTCGGGGCCGCTGCGGCTTCTGCGCGTTGTTCTTGTCTTCGTTATCGTGCTCGATGGTAATAGAATGCAGGGTTTGACTTGGGTCAAGCGTTGGCGGTTCGTGGGAATTCCCAGTCAAAGGGCACAGTGGTGGTTGTCGCAGGATGATTAAGAAGAGGGTTAGAGGAACGGAGGGAACGAGGCTTTCCGCAATGGCATGCGCATATCCATCAAAGCCGAATTCGATCGCAATTGTCTGACTCTGTGAATAGCAACGTCATCGGTTTCGGTCGCAGGCGGGCAGTCGTAGACTCGCAAGGAACGGTAATCGAGTAAGGTAGTCGTGGATCAGGTCGTCGCAGTGGCTCGCTGGTCGCACATTAGAGTGTCCGTCGCGGCATCGGCATCGGACTGCCTGGATCTTGTCCGGCCTCTCTCTTTCTCTCTCTCTCTCTCCTTCTCTCTTCTAGTTTGTGCTCGAGGCAGGGATCCGTACTGGGTGTCCTGTTGTTTTGCAGCTAGAGATGGGAGAGAGGAGGGCGACGTATGAGCAAGCGAAGTGAAATAGGAGAGTAGACGAGGAGAAAAGAATCGAGAAATGGATCAAGTTAGGCAAAGTTGAGTTGAGCGCTGAAGAAATGCGACGAGAGCTGCGCTGCTGCATCCAGCTGGAGCTGCTCCATGGCTGAGGTACCTACCTTACTGCGTACCTTACCTGCCTTAAGCCGGTAAGGTGCGACTGGTCATCGTCCACGTGCCTGCTGATATTTGGGGGTACCTCACGCAGTACCGAGTACTTCGCATGGCTCCGGCCAATGCTCAGGCTCACCCTTACCTACCTTAGGTAGCCCATCTCACCCAGCCTCTCACTCACTCACTCACCTCTCACACTTCACTTGAGCTCTCTCACTTCAACCCCGGCAATCACATGCAAATTCACTACCCAGACCGTAGACGCCCCAAGCTCCCATCCCGCCTCCATTCATCCATCCCCGGGTAACTCAAGGGAGGCAAGCTACTGATCCACTATTCATCCCAGCTGCAGCTCATCTCGCATGGATAGTCATGAGCATGGATCATTGGTCCCAGTGCAAGACTCAAGTCCGCATAACAAATGGCCGATACTTACCTAACCTCCTCGCTGAACTACGGATCAACATCCCAATCTCACCGCCACAATCTTCACTCACAAGCCAAGGCACCACGCTCGGTCAAACTCTCCCTCATGCGTGGTTTCAACAATGTAATATCAATTTGTGCTATAATTCTCAATCAGGCATGCGCCTGGTACCGCTCAACTAACAACACAACTACGTCTCAATACCAGCGGAAAGCTCTCCCATAACTAACAATCCCCAACGTTTTCCTTGTCCCCAAACTCCTAAATCACTATACCGAGCGAGTAAGCAGCATTGCTTTCCGTCTCGGGATATCTCATATCTCTTGCGAAAGCCAGTCTAACAGCCGATGACCGAGCCCGTATTGCTGTTCACGGGCAAAGAAAAAAAAGAGAGACACGAAGACAGAAAAAAAAAAAAAAGAGCAGAAAAGAGCCCGAACCCCATGACGCCGTTTAGTCATTCATACGCAACACCGACCGCCCTTGGATTCCTCAACCGCAGTAGCATCCCATATCAATACAGGTGCTGCATGTCTGGATTCTTTCCTGAAAGCCATTTGTAGAACTTGGTCGCTTGTAGCTTTGCTCCGCGTTGGCTGCCCGTCAACGAGTTGGCCTCAAACACCAGCTTCTGCTCCACCTTCTCGCCCTTCTCCGTCTTGAGCTCCAACTGCACTGTCGTTCCCGCCATCTTTGCTGCCTTGACCAGGCTAGCATCCACAACCGCCTCCATGCCGTCCTCTTGCTTGCTTCGCATGATGCTGCTCGATTCGTCCTCGGCGTGGAAGCGCAGGAATTTCCCCGGCTGCACCCAGTGCTGACTGCCCTGGTGGAACTCTGACACGTCGATAAAGTTCTCAACGTCTCTCTTGCCTCCTAGAGCAGGAGACGCCGCTGCACTTCGGTCGATGAGAGGCGATTGAAGCGCCGCGGGTGTAACCCGAGGTGACTCCGATGCCCGGACTGCACGCCACTGCTCACTGTTGACCAAGCTGGCGTGCGTCAATACCTTGGGAGTGCTACTACCCGACGCAGTGCCGTTGCTCGTGCTGATGACCACCGTCTGCTTGATCGCCCCTCGCTCCTGGTCATCGTGAGCACTGCTGCTGCTCATGCTCGCGATGCTCATGCGAGGATCTGGTCGGCGAGCAGCGCTCTCGCCGCTGGCCGCGCTAGCGCTCCGCGGAGGCTGAGGAAACGGGCCGTTCAACGCCGGCGACGGTGCCTCTCTGATACTCTTCGTCGAAAGTGCGGGCGAAGGCTGCTGGCTCGCCCTCGTCATTTGATCGAGATGAACCCCTTGGCTGGGCTTCTGAGGCAATGGGTGTCGGAGTGGCGCTGGCTCAACAACGCCTGGGGACGGCTTGGATGGTAGAGGCCGACGGGCTGCATTTTCAGAGCCGGCTGTGTCGTTGACCAAGTCTGCAATTTGCAGCTTGGGGCTTACACGGGGAACTTCCTTGTTGAGGTTTGGCGACTTGGAAGCAGCCTTCATCGCGCTCTGAGCCAAGCTTGCCATTGATGCTTGGTCCATCTGAGACTGGTTCTCGCTGTCTTGCCGGGGCTTTGCAGCCTCTACCGCCGGATGCGCGCTATCCTGAGCATTTGGTCTCTGAGCCGCGTTACTCCCCGCAATCTCAGTAAGTGCAGGCCGCTCAGTTGCCGATACAACCGTTATCTGGCTCGAGCCTGGTGATACGGTGCTCACAGACGCGCTACCATCAGGTTGAGGAGCGGAACTGGGAACTGAAGTCGGCCCGTTCACAGCGATATCTGCGGATGCTGGCTGGGGCGTCGCGGGAGTTCCAAGAGCGACCGTAACGCGTCCTCCATTGGTGTTCGCGGCGATCGGTGTCGCGTTCTCCTTGCTCTCGGCTCGATCCTTGGACGGCGTTACTTGGACAGCATCGTCCATTGCCACATCTTCCCTATCGACCACGGCCTTCTCTTTCTTGGCCGACAGACGAGTGCCAGCAGCAGCTCCAGATCTCCCCGTCATCCAACCATTCTCGCTCAGCCGCGACGTAGGCCGCACCTCTTGAGTGCTCCGTCTGAGAAGCTGCTGAGGCGTGGTTGGGCCTTCGTCGATATCCGCCATGTCGTCATCTGAATCCTGGCCATTCCGGCGCTTCGGTTCCACGTAGTCTTCGTCATCCGAATCGTCAGCTGGGGGAGGATTGTCGCCAAAGTCGTACATGTCAACATCGGGTACAGGGTCCGAGTCCGATGCCGAAGCAAATGACGGCAGCTTCGCGGGAATCGTCGCCGTCGTCGCCGTCTCTGTCGTCGACTCCACTACTGCTCCTGCCGGTGATTGACTTGCCTGCACATGGGCCAACATGGCCTCGAACGAGTCGTACCCACGGATCTCAGCATACTTCTTTCTCGCATTGTTGGCCGGGTCCAAGGGATCGGTAGATCGGTCAGGGTCGTCAAGCAGCAAAGGCTTCAGAATGAACTTAACGCCAAGCCAACCCAATCTGGTGTTGCCATTCTTTTCGAACCACAGAACGGGGACATCCCTATCCAACTCACGCGGCTCGCCATCTCCGTAACCAGGCGCCCAGCCACCAATTCCTTCGTCATTGTACGTATAGCACGTAGGCCTGATTTTCCTGTCGCAAAGCTGTGTGTCGCTGAGCCAGCCATCCCATCCGCACATCTTCAGGGATGTCCAGCCCAGTATCATAACAATGTAGAGCTTGTTGCTCCTTGGCCATTTTGCGTGGTAAATATCACCCGGAATTGGATTCATAATGTGATCCCCACCACGTTGCTGCTTCTCCTCCTGTGATCTCGACTCCAACTTCGTTTGGTAAGATCCCGCGCTATTGGAGGTTGCCTGGAATGACGAATCGGAAACTGAAGGGTCCCTTACAGGAGCCATCGTGTGAGCGGCCGACTGTCGCTTGCCACCGGATTTCGGGCCGTGCAGCTGGTTCAGGGGCTTGTAACCACTTTCGAAAGCAAGGCGGACACATTCGTTGTTCATTGCAGCGAGCTCCTCCGTACAATCCACGACGTGGAATCCGATGGTTTCGACCGCCAACTTGTGCTCCTTCTTCTGATGACCATGGGAAGCGCCGTGGAGGTGCTTGGCTGCCGCTGCGAGTGCATTCTGCTTGAAATGCACACCGTGCTCGTCGCATCGCAGAATATAGAAAACGTCCTCGAATTTGACGATGTTGTGCTTGTATTCCGCTTTACCGTCCTGGTAAACCTCGGCAAAGGTGATCGTCCTGGGAGCTATTGACTGTGGCGTATCAGTTCTTGCGCGTTTCGGATCTGCATCTCTAGATGACATGTCGCTAGCATCCGACTTTCTCTTGGCCATCTTATGGCGGTCAGAGTGGGAGTCTACAGACTGTCTCAACCCATCTTCAGCTCGTAACATGGCGCCTTGCGCAAAGTTTCTCCCATCACCCGCCTGTAGTCTGTCCCCGCGGGAACCCATGGGTCCAGCATTCATGGGCGGCAGAGGTACCCGGTTACTACGATCAGCTAGGTTGGGCTGAGTTCCATTAACAGGCTGTCCAGACCCGGCTCTCGGAGGGCCGTAATGATTGCTACCCAACGTAGGAACATGTGGCTGCGAAGGAAGCACTCGAGGGGGCCCATTTGCAACCGGGTTGTTGACTGGCCGATTCGGGTGATATAAGGCTGAAGTTCGAGGCGACACCTGCTGCTGGCCAGGTTGATTATGGTGAATCCAGGCCTGTCCTTGATTCGGGTGACCCTGGTTAATCTGCTGTGACTGGCGGATCTGGTGGTCGAGTTGAGACGGCATCGGGGCCGAGCTGCCGTGGGCAGGCATTCCGTTTGTCGGCCGCTGCTGAACAGGCTGATTTGGCACCATGGGGCCTTGTGGTAAGGGCTGACGTGCCTGTTGGGGAGGTGTGCTCATCGGCATGGTTGAGGGCGAGCCGCGCCCAGCTGGACCAACGCGTGCGCCAGCAATCTGAGCCGACGGATTTGTTGGCGTACGTCCCAGCATGCTAGCGTTTGAGGGATACCCGGCGTTGCGTATAGAGTAGTTGCCGGGCACGGGGAAACCTATGTGATGTTCTCGAAGAGCGTCTGCTTCGCGTCTTGCGCGGTCCTTTTCCTCAACATCACGCCTTTGCTGACAGGCGGCATATCGATGGGATCGGAGTTCGTGCTGATACTTTTGAAGAAGCTCGCGAGCTTTCTGTGGCAAATTTAACGTGTCGGCGAAGCGAGCCTCCTCGTCAAGATCGTGGCAGGCGTCACGCTGCTGTTGGGTGAATTTGGCGTTTACGTTCTCCTTTTCAGCCTCGAAGCGGGCTTTGAGCGCTTCGAACTCTGCAAACCAGCGTTTACGATCTTGGTCTAGATCTGATTGACCATTTTGCGACATGGTCGCAGTGGAAGATGAGATACTCGCCATGACGACAAGATTAAGTTTGCTGTACGAGGATGAAAGTCTTTCTCGTCCGCTCGGCAGATGTTTTAATCAAGGTCTCTGCTGAGAGTAAGTTGACCAACTGAATCAGTTTGGGCAGCCCATGCCCGAGACTCAGCCACTGGAAGAACCTATTTCAAACATGGCATTAGATATTGCATTTCAAGATACGTCAACCCTGCGGATCAACGGCATTACGCAAGAAGAAGAAGGTGGTATATCGATCATGTCAGTACCTCTATGTGAGTAGGGTCGAATGGAGTATTATCCACTCAATGACCACAATGAAGTAGTCTATCCAGAGAGTTTTCCTATGCGATTCGTAATCCGCGAAACGAAGGACGGATGATGTCGATAATTAGTCAGTTAGTCGGGGTGGAACTCTTGACTAGAGCTTGCAGACGGATACGATGTCCTGTGCAACGGCAGCAAGGAGGCGATCCGTAAAGCAGTATGCCGCAGAGGGTCCGGGCGATGAGACTCGAAGACGACTCTGAGACAAAGGGAATCGTGAGATGAAGAGTCGACAAAAGGCAAAGAGAAAAAAGGGTGATGGGGCCTCGCTCGGTGTGTAGTCGTCAAGATGAAAGGGACTTTGGCGTTGGTAGGCAGGCAGCGTAGGCAGGTGCGGCGGTGGTAGCGAGAAGTCCGTTGTGGGTGGAGTTGTGTAGGTGGCAAGTCAACGACGTCTGCCTATTGGGATTTCCTGTACGGATAGTTGGTACGGACACCTGCTCGGTCCCGGTTAGGATAAGTTGCCAGGCAGAAATAGAGTGAAAATGAATTAGATCCAGATCCCAGATGCAGAGATGCGGGACCCCTCGTCTATCGGTATGGTGGTGGTCGAAAATAGAACTGGGAGCTGTCAAGGGCGCCAGTACTTGCCACTTGGAAAGGTGAAGTCGTTTGGACCGGGGGGTGTGGGAAGGTGCTGAGTTTGGGTGTGTGGGAGGTGAAGAAAAGATGAAAGAAATGGGGGCGCGTGGTCGGTAAGAGGGCGGTAGAAGGATGACAAACAACAAAGGGTAAGAAGGAAGATGCAAACAGCGAGTGACTGTGAAGGTGAAGGTGAAGGTGAAGGTGCCCAGCGATGACTGGTGATGAATGACGGACAAATATGTTGGGTAAGATGGGTAAAGGTAAAGGCATGGAAGGTAAGGTACGGAGTAAGGTAAGGTGAAAACTAGGTAGGTAGGTACCTTAAGGTGAGGGGAGGTAAAGTATGGGAAGGTACGGATATGGGGAGGGCAGGTATGGAAGGGCAAGGAGTGGAAAGAAAGGAAAGAGGGAAATTAGTCCGTTGTTTTGGGAAAGAGCAAATGCTGTTGGACCTGCCAATGAATGGCATTATTACTACATAATAACCGCCAGCTAACGTAGAATGACAGGTGTGCCTCTGCCGCCCGTTGCTTCCTCTCGAGTCTTACAATGCCATCATAGACAAGGTGAGGAAGGACCAACCAGACCGGGGAGTAAAGGTAAGGTAAGATAGGTAAGGACCGTAAGGCGAGGTGACGGTAAAGAAAGAGACTGCCTACAATACCTTACTGGGTAGATAGGTACCCGGTAAGGCAAGGTAAAGCAATGGGAACCGCTCAGCGCCAAGTACGTACCTGATTTGCTTGCTGTTCTTTTGATTCTCTTGAGGTATTGGCAATCAGTCAGAGCCCGTGCCAACCGAAGAGAGAAAGAAAAAAAGATCCTACTATCCGTACAACAAGCGAGGCGTCCAATTATCCCTACCAATGAATACTCATAGGGGGGAGGGAGACGACGTGTGTACGGTGTCTAAGCAGGAGTGTGTAGCAAGACAAGTGGAATGAGGATGGGCCGAGAAGAATGATGAATACTTTAAAGAAGAAGAAAAGGCAAAACCAGCATACAGTGTGGAAGTACCCGTATCCGTAGGCAAAGTGCTCATTTGGTGGCTACTTGTACCAGACCAAGCTAGACTAGAGACAGCTGGAGTAAGGTACGTCTGACTGGGCTAGAGTGTGCATGAGTGGTGAGATAATCTGAGAGAGCGTGTGTGAGGTGTGAGGTGTGTCAAGCACATGCAAGCTGTTTCTGGGGGGGGGGCCTTTTGGTTCATCGGCGCCTACTTTACGCCGTACGGATACCTCTTACGGATACAGGAAATTGATTGATTGTCTGTCTCTTTTTTATTTTATTTTTCTGCTCCTCCGCTTGCCTTTACGGAAAGAGAGACATTGCTCTCTCGGACCCGGCTGGGATTGGACGACCCTACGGCCAAGCGTCTTGGAGGGATCGGTACGTATCTGCTAAGTTCTTAACCCTTTTCCAGGGCACCTCACCTTCCATCACTTTGAGTTGCTGACACAAGGTACCAGGGTACGTACACTTTTCCATGGCTGACCGCGTATCTTAAGTCCGCGCATCTCTCTCTTCACTCTCATTCTCACTCACTCCTGGTTGGTACCTAGCTAAGTACCTTGGTATTGGTCTCACTCTCACTCGCTCTCTCAAACACTATTCTCTTCTCTTCTCGCACTCTGATTACCTGAATCTCACGCAATGGAGCCATCCGCCGCTGCCCACCATTCATCGGAAAACCTATTCTGAAATGGACGTAGCGTTCCGAAGGGTGGGTACCCCCGTCACAGAAGCTCCAGAGGTACATGCTTCACACGCTCCCGCTCACTCATTAAGGTACGAAGTATGGACGGTAAGGCGTGCCAATCCCTCCTCAACCGCGTATCCGTTATAATACCTTACCATACGAAGGTACGGAGCACTCGTACGCCCATGCCTAGCCTTAGCTACAGTGTTCCTATTACACTCGTGGCACGGTAGGCTGAATCCGTACCTAAGCTCCCCTTCAGCTCGGCGCCACGCCCACTCAGTTCCAAGCCCGCTTCTCCAAAGACATCCACACGCAGTCATATTCACTGGTGATTCGACTTTCAATGAGTCCCAACTCATCCCAATCCATCGCAAAAGTATTGGACTGTGGCCGTGGCCTTCGCCTCGTAGTGTGTATTACACGTATCCGATTACCCGAACATGTCCTCACCATTGGGCATCTCGTCGCATTAGGGTCCTCCTCAGCGAGGGCCCCCAAAACACGCCAATTCGCCGCTCTCAAACGCCGTCGGGCTCATACTTCCATGTTCCACCCGACTTCCGAGTCCTTAATGATTATCTCCGGCCCCGTTCATCTTTCTCGCTCTCGTGAAGGCAAGGCAGAAAAACTTTCAAGACACAAAAGATTGCCATCGATCCATCATCCCCGTGGCTCTAGCCTCTCAGTCGTCTCCCCCCCTCTCATACACCCGGGGACCCACCACCATCACCACACCATTGATCCCTTAAAGAGGGGGGAAAGCGAACCTGCTGCTCGCCTCTCACTGCTCGCTCGCTACAGGTCTCCATGGGTTCCATGGGCTCCAGCCTCCAAGCAGGCGGGAGCAATCCGCACGGCATCTGATTTGCGCCAAATCCCCGTATCACCCTGCGCCCCGCGCCCCTGGCAGGCCATGGCCCATGGCCGCCATACCTACTCTCATGATTATGTATGTAGTTGGTGTATTACGGATACTCCGTTGTCTGTACTTTACCAGCTTACCATTCACCATCACCGTCACCAGTAAGTATTCGTACCCTTGCCTCGCGGCTTGCCATGCGTGCCATGCTATATGAATGACCACCCTAGTCGCTCACTTGCACTGCTCAGTGCTCACTTCCTCCTTATCTCATCTCACCTCACTTCACCTCATCTCATCTCATCACACTCGTGTGACAACGTACATCACCGCCGCTCTTAACCTAACCGGCTTTACGAGGAAGCCGAAGCCTCGGATCGATGCGCAGGTACCTCACTTATCTTCTTCCGACTCTTCTCAAACACATTGGATTAAAAGACTGCATGGCAAAGTCTGGGCATGACTCTCCCACCGGTCTGACAGAACGTAATTCAGACTCAATCAGACCCTCACTGGCCAGTACTCCGTATCTCCGCGTACTCTACAGCCTAACTGGACCCGTGACTTGGCACCACTCGCAAGGCAGGGCACGGGTATATTGCGCCGTCATACAGCCCATAATAGCGTCTTTCATTGGTCTACCATTGAGCATTTTTGGTAATTTTCGCCCGGCGTCCCACGCGACTCATAACGGACCCCCTGCCAAACTATTACTTTCCTGGCGCATTTGCACTTTCACCGGGACATTGGATCAGCCTGTAAAGTCCGGGAGACGTTAGGTCGATCGGCATCGTGATCAGGGCCGTCGAACATTGGCTTGCTTGCACCTTGTTTCCCGCCCGCTTACAGCTTACCTTATTCCTCTGGGTAGTTCCCGAGATCCACGTACCCTACTACTTCATACAAAGTACACGTTTTCACCCTCGGCTTATCTTTCATCTAGCCTCCAGGTACTCCGTACCTATGTTAATATGAACCGTGGTACGGATACAAAACATTCATAGAGCGCACGCACTGGGCGGTGGCACATATCCGACACCTGCCATCCACTCCCTCATCCATGTCGCTGTTCAGTCGAGAGTTGCGGATTCAAATTCTTAGATGATGCCGCTATTCCAAGACGGACCATGATTCCGCGTAGTCCAACTCAAAACATGCCTTTTTATGATTTATCCCACTCGAAACCGCTCGCTCGCCGTGTCCGCGGCCCGCGTGGGATCTTGTCCGTGGATCCCATTACAACTTGAACCCCCCTTTCCCGGAAATGTATGCACGCGCCATGGACCAAACCATGCGCTGCCGGCTGCCGTAGAGATCTATACCACGGAACCGTCGCCGTGCTTTTCCTTTCTACTGCTATCTTGTCACAGTAGAGCGTAATTTGACTTTTGACCTTCCTTCTCTACCCGTACGGATTACGTACGTACCGTCTGATATTATGACCTTCAGCCCCCCCCCCCCCTTTCCCCCCTCGACTGTGAGCCGAACACACACACACAGAGGAACATGGGCAAAATCAACTGATACTTGCTGGCCCCTTCTTGGCGTCGCACTGAATGCGCACTCACCTCACAGGCGCACCGGCGGCGCAAACGCCCAACCAACCAAACTAACACACAATGCTTGCAATGCTTGTTGACGTCCTTACCGAATGAAGAAACTATTTCCACGGCCCACCACCACTCAGATCCAAGCTTCTGTGCACGCAAACATCCTCCCAATCTGCCCAATTGTCCTACTTACTCCCGTAGTCCCGTTTGCCTGTATCGTAAATTGTTGGCCCCTCTCAAACATTAAACTGCTTCCGGCGCCCCATTGTCCGTCTCAATGATTACTTATTGGCCTTTAAACTCCATAACCTGTTCCGCACAGTCATAAACTCTCTCTTGACAGGTCATTACTTTAGCCTTTCCGTGCCTCCTCAAAGCCGCCTCACGATGCCGGTACCTACCTACCTGGCTCGGTGTTCGCAGCAAAACTCTGTGCGGCCCAGTACAACTTCGTCCAGCTGAACCATATTGCTCCCCCGTTATCCATCCTCTTGTCTATTTCTGTGACTCAACCCCAATCTGGTGCAACTCTAATATCTACTGCGGACGGTCAGTCCGATATACCCTTACGCACCCGCCATTATTCATGCAACTAGGTGATAGAGTGTGCGCGCTTCGCAGTGCCTCCGTTCAATGCAGCCAACGAGCGTTCGGTATTCGGAATCTGTGTGACCGTGGAACGTCCTGTCAGACATCAAACTACAACAATCGGTGGCTGTGGCTTGGATTTGCGTTCCTGAGACCTGAGTGAGCCGTGCATACCTACCGAGATACGTGTATCCCTGAGGCGTATCCGTACATTCCCCCCAATAGTACAGCTGGCATGCAGAGCTTGACTCAAATGACGCCATTCATACCATTGATTACACATCCATAGTCAATCGTGAGAGGAAACACGGAGGCAGAAAGCAACCAAAGGTGGAGGAATGAAAGTCCGGACTGCCCGGCGTGCCGGCCTCCTGAAGTTCATCGGCCGCATGGAAGGACCCCTCCATAGTAGCCGAGACTTCGTAATGTCGTACAAATCCGAGAATCCCATCCCCTTCAATATCGGTATCCCACAATATGGGGCCCAATCAAGGATCTTTTTTTGCGAAAGCGAACAACTCTGTAACTTTGAAGGGACCCGTGCCCTTACTGTACAAGCTTGGGGCGAACCAGTCCCCTCTAGGTTCTAGCATTTCTCTAACGCCCTGTCCAACGCAAGGTCACACACACGCGCACACACAGCCGAACGACGGAATTCGGTCTCCGCAGCCCATATTGCTTTTATGCTACGCAGTAACACTAACAACCTTTTGGAATGGGCGCTTCAGGCACAGAATGACTAATGAGACCGTACGCCCTACGTCGGGATAGGAAATCCGTAGGTCGACCGTAGTAGAGCATTCTTCTTATTATCACCGCCAGGCCAATCAAGCTTTCGATTCATTCCACGTCTCGGCATCTTTACCTCAGTATCCATACGAACACATGAACGTCAGTGTATCAACTGCAGGGCCAAGTCTTGCAAGCACTATACCCTTTTACGCCCAATCCCCGCCCGCCACGCATGTATACAGTAATGGGAAGGATGCCCGCCACACTTTCGCATTCATAGCAGCTCATGTGCCTCATTCTTACCACCAGGCGGCAAAGCAATAGGCTATACGGGAATACAAGCTATTGCTAGCTTGGGATGGAAGGATGCTCTGATTTGCCGTCTGCTTCTCAGCCTGCATTGCGCCATCGACACCTACAGCCGCACTATCGGCCTGTCAAGTTGCGCATCATGCAAGTCTGAGTCAGTGAGAGCGTATGC